TGCATGTGTGAATGTGTGTGTGTGTGAATGTTTGTGTGTGAATGTGAATGTGTGTGTGTGTGTGTGTGTGTGTGTGTGTGTGTGTGTGTGTGTGTGTGTGTGTGTGTGTGTGTGTGTGTGTGTGTGTGTGTGTGTGTGTGTGTGTGTGTATTAAATGTGTGTGTGTATGTGTGTGAATGTGTATGTGTGAATGTGTGAATGAATGTGCTGCAACACTTTAAGGAGGGACTAGTAATACTGCTTCTATGACTGTCAAGAAGAGAAGTAAGAATGGCAACAATTATAATAGTCAACATTCAATTACAATTTTTTTTCTAAATCATCTGTATTCGTAAATATCAACAAAAACAGATTCCCAACATCTGGAATAACTGCTGACTTATTTTTTTTTTTCACTTTGAGCAGCTATAAGCCATAGATGCTTCTGTCATAAATGAATAGTCAAATTTTCTCATGACGTCATACCTACAGCCTGTTTCCTGACCTACATTGAGAGTGAATCCCATAACTGGAGATTGAGTAAAACTGCATTTTAGTGGAATAACAGTCTTGCATTTAGACTAAAAATTCTGAAGCTCTAAATCTAACAGGAATTAATCCTTACTTACATGTAAAGACCCATTTAATCTTTCCAAACATTCCTGAGTGTAGAAACAAGTGCAGTAAAATATGTGTCACTCTTTATGGAATTCCATTTATTATGGCTTCTTATTTCTTTTTCATCATGTTAGACAAGGTGCACGTATTTGTCTTTTAAATATTTCATCCATGGATTTTTGCAAAAAGGTTAAAAAACTAAACTACCAAGTATTCTACTTATATATTTAGAGAGAAGGAATGAATTGGATTCTGACTAGCATCAGCAATTACACATAAATAATTAATACTATTCTAAGTGTCAAAACCTATTTTTTACATCATTTATCTTCTTAGCACTCAAGATATTTACTTGACATCTTTTGACTTCTTTTTCCTTTTTTTCTGTGCCTTCTTAAGCATTTTCCTCATCTTGAAGTGTTGCCAAGCACGTTGGATTATTCTAGCTGCATGTTCACGCCGGAACTCTCTCTGTTGCGAAAAAAAAAATGATGTGTATTAAGTAAGTTTCTTAATGCACTTCACTTGTAAGATTATCATCTTGATATTCTAATCAGTTGAGTAAAGACCAGGAATTAAGATTGAAGTTTTGTGTGTAAAGATGATGAAGCCACAACACATACCTGCATAGCGGCCAACCTTTCTTCCTCCTTCCTCTGTTTCTCTGCTTCTATATCTTGGTATCTCTCTCCATTTCTTTAAAATCAAGCTGTCAAAGACATTTTACAATATCACCAGTGTGAATTATACAAACAATATCTTTAGATAGCTCATTATGTATGAGTTATCATCTGTTGGATTTAGAAAAATGCAAAAGAAAAGAGAATCAGAAACAAAGAAAATATATAGATCCAACATATCTCACTGGAAATTGGACAAGTTCACCCCTGCTCTTATCTAGCCTTGTTCTTCTTCCCAACACTATGGTTTTTTTATATATATATAATAGGTATGGGTTAATGACTTTCATATATTCTGTGTATACCTCAAAGTGGAGCATTATATGTTTAGTTGTGAAAAATCTTCACTTAGAAACCATTTGAAGCCATATAGCTAGTAAACAATACCTAGCAACAATAAAACAATCACACCTATTGACGTGGTAAAAAGCTCACCAAACAACCGCTAATGACATTTAGAAATAAAGAAAACACCAAAAATATTTACTGTCATGATCTAGTTTCTGAACCTAGTCCTTCCAATCTTTGCACCAGTCTACATAGGTAGGAGGGATGACGGGATGGGTCTGAGGCTCAAAGGGCATGGTGTTGTATGAATTTGCTACCTTATTGTTAATCTGTGTATGAGATTTACCATTATATAAATGATATATAATATCAAAATGATAACATGATACAATTTTGTAACAATCCAGGTATTTATGCTGTAGACTTGTCCCTTGAAACAAGTTGTCAAGCAGTGCATCCACTTGCATGTTCAGCTGTCCTGAACTATCACCTTCCCAGGTTACTAGCAATCTTCCTGAATGGCCCTGAACATAGAGGAGCAGAAATTTTTCCCTCCTTGAAAGATTTGTACTACTGTATAATAAACATAAGAGTAAATTATACACCAGGTCTTGTTTATGTAAAAAACAAAACAAAATACATACAAACATTCTCTGTATTTCAAATGCCTGGGGATGTCCCTGGTCAAGATGAAAGAGTAAAAACAGCTCATGATTCGATCAAAAGGCAGACAGCAGACGGATCAGCACTTACAAACCTGGAATTTTTATTTCTTTTTCTTAGGTTCTTTATGTAGCCTATGTAGTCAAGTCAACTTTCATAAGTACCATCTTCAGTATCACATTCTCATATCCTATGTAAAATTTGCAATTCTCCAAATAGACTATTCCTGCCACATCAAGCTGCCAAAGCCACAAATGAACAGATCTTATTGG